GTTCTCAACCTGTAGTGCTCCTTCCATTGATGGGGTACTGAACAGAATCGGTCCGGGTGGGATGCTACATTTTCACCCCCAGTTCCATTTAGCTCTTCCTCAGTTCCCACATCCTTCTGCACACCTGGTGCACCATCTCCCACTGACATACCTGCCATGGATTATCTTTCTGTGAACTTTTCCAATGCTAGTAGTAGCTTTGATCAGTAGAATTTCTCCTAATCACCTGTTCCCCCTGCTTTCCAACTTATAGTCGATGATAAAAATAATAACAGTATACCCATAGGCATATAACAATTTTTTTCCTGGGGAATCCATTGAGGTCATTTTACATCCATTTTGGTGGAGTGCACTTTCTTTTACAGTGTCATTAGAGTGAGATGTAAGGCACCAGTGCTCTGAGTGACTGCAATGCAAAGTTATAATCTATTTAATGCACTTAGGGTCTTCCTTTCCTCACACAGTTAATGGCACCTGACTGAACATCAAATACACTGTATGTAAAAACATTTGTTTTGTAAATGGCAAAACAATGTACACTGAATAAATTGTTTGGAGTGCTTTGCCTATTAATACCTCTCGATCCTGCTTTGCGCTCACCACGTTTTATCCATATGGTATCCATCTTCTTCTCTGTATATCTTTCCAGAAGGCCTGAAGGCTGCGGTTCTTTGCCTTTTCAGACGGACCCCCAGAGTCCAGGCTGCTGATGCCATCCTGCAGGTATGTCCCACCCAGGCAGCACATCCTACTGCTTGCCAAGGAGACTTGAGGGATAGAAATCTTCCTTGAAAAAAGTTAATGGAAAGCTAAGCAGAGACAAGAAGAGGATGAAACCTGAAAGTCTGGATAGCTGTAGAGATGATGAGAGTCCACTGGGTTGGTTTGGGGGAGCAGTGGGGCACCTGCTGTCCTCTGGAAGATTTAGCTTCCATCCGACCCAGCCCTCGCGGTCAAATGATCAGGGAATAAGCACGACGGGAGTGGTGGGTCAACAACATTGGAGAATCACAAATTCCCCATCCATTTAGCAGAATCTATGATTTGACAATTAAAAAAGAGCCCGGTAACATCTAACTCAAATCTGCTATTTTTTCATTTGATCATGCATATAGCCATCAAATCAGCATGCTGCCATTATATGTTTTTCAGGAGGGGTGTCCTCTGTCTTCTTTCTGTTGTTGGTTGATGTTTTACGATTAAACAAACAGGGCTTAAACAAACAGTGAGAGAAGTCTTTCCTCAGACCCCCCTCCATTTTTAAAATGGGTACTCTTGGTCTGAAAGGGAGCCTGCAATCCATTTATTTGGGAATCCTTTCTTCAGGAGGCTTCCAGGAGCAGCAGCTCACCAGAGGACTCTAATGGAGCCAGCAGGCTGCAAAAACAGCCTCTGAAGGTTGCACATGGCCTACATCTGGCAGGGCCTGGCATCTCCAAGTAAAAGGGGCTAGAGCTGCACATCTGGGAAGGACCCAGGAGTGTGGTGTGCAGCAGTCAAAGCAGACTGTTGAGCGAGATGCACTAACCAATTCATGGTAAGATTCAGGAGGACTAGGGCAGCTTCATATGTTCAGAAGACTTTTCCATCATCCACTTTGTTCCTCCTTTTGTGTAGCAAAGGGCTTAACAGCTGGGGGAGGAGAGCAAGAATGGTAAGGGCTATTTATCTTTTTGTCTGCCTATCCCTTTTTTCCTCCCCAACTCTCTTAGAAAACAAGACCAAGAGTTTTGGAGGTTTTATTTTTAAGGCACAAGGGAGAAGCAAAGAATATCTCATTCTTCCTTACTGTTGTTTCTCTTGGGACTGTCTCAAATATTTTCCAGTTGCAAGGAGCTGCACTGGGCTATTCCAGCACCAGTTGCCAGGTGGCAAAAGTGTAGCTTGAGGATAATGAGCTGCTACATGTGAGCTAAAATTGCACCCCAGTAGCCTCTGCTACATGGCAACACATCTTGGGCCACTCAGCTGAGACATGACACAGAGATCCTGGCACTGCTTAAAATATCTGTAGTCAGAGAAAAAGATGACATTACAAAATAGTCTGCAAGCTTACAAGTTCAACTGAAATAACTGGATACTATTTTTTTACATCTCACTCCATTTAGAAATGTGTTGGTTTTCATTTTTCAGAAAAATGTGGACATTCTTTCACCTGGAGAGTGCTTCCATGTAACTTGACAGTATGCATACATTGTGGAATTTATTGGTAAATAAAGGTGTTTCAAGGGCAGTATCAAAAAAATATTTCCTTCCTTTTCTTCTAACGTCCAATCCTAATAAGAGTGCTGTGCAATTTAAAATATGTCAAATTGCATTATGAACATGTCACACCTTCTTTTTATTCAATGAATCTTATTCTAACAGATCAAACTGATGATCAGACTTTGACTTTGAAATATTAACAGTTCCCATGCAAACAGTTTAGGTAGTTTATGCAAATGCATGTGTAATTATATAGGCCAGCTACAAGCATCTGGTTGCAAATGGATAATTTCTAGCAAAGCTGTCTTATTGCTGTAAAATTTTTTGCAAGACATCTAGCAGTTTCCACACAACTCTTTAAAAAATGGCCAGAATCCTCTTGGTCATTGTTTGCCAACATGGGCACAATGGTGGAGATGGCAGTGGCATACGAATGGCAAAATAGGTAGATGAAAAATGCTTCCTGCTCAAGCTAACTCGAGACAGAATGTCAAGGTCATTTGACTGTAAACTTCACAGCCAAAAAGTGGGTACGAAACCACAATGACTCGTGAAAGCACTGACGTTCAACTGAGAGGTGCACCCATAATGTAGATACTGTAATGACCCAAATGAAGATGATTGGCAGCAGCACCATTTTCTTCTTCTTGGTTTTGGTTTTTGGAAAGAAAAAGAAGCCCCAATAGAATTATTGAGGAACTAATATTGGTTCCAAATGAGTGCTATACTGTATCGCAAAAGTGTGCTATCAGTTGATTCACAGAATCAACTTTCCTCTAATTACTACTAACCGACAGAAAAATAGATGACCTCTTCCTGGGAATTACACAAATGAGGTATGCTAGTGCCATGAACTAGATTTGCTTAATATGCAAATTGTGTTGCCCAGATTTGGAAGCCTTTTATACAACGGTTGTGTGTGTTGTGTAACATGCAGCTGAGGGATCCGATCTAAAAGCCAGCCAGCGCCTCTTAATCCTCATTGAAATGCGTTCATTATTAATTAATGAATTCCTGCAGGGCAACTTAAAAGTACAAGTCTTGAGATGGCTGGTTTACAGTCCTATTAGCATCATGCTGATCTTCCAAAGCAAATGTTTAATGTCCATGCAGCAATTACCACATTGTTGCCCCAGAACAACATGTCTTCTTATCACCTGCGTTTGTCTGGGAAAGGATTGTTATTATACCAACATTGCCATCCTTTGTTCATTGACTTTTTATGGAGATTTCAGACATATTTGCTAAACCCTCTCATTCCAGTAGTTTCTGTGTTGTTGTTCTCTTTTTTAAATGGATAATTAAAAAACACACAAACACAATTGCAAAGCAGACTTGTACCGCTAGACTCCCTCAATAGTACCACTCAAGCTTCTTAGGGCTCTTACGCCTTTAATTACATATCTCTATTTATCTACTTTGGGATTTTTCCCGTTATATGCTATATGCGGTAGCAGAACTACTGATTAATAGCCAGCTAACTGTCCTTTCAATAATTGCTCTTAACTGACAATCTTTGTTCCTTTTCTAGCTAGGGAAGGAAACTGTCTTTCATTTTTTAAAAGCAAAATAGTGCTATTTGGCTTACTTTGGCTTCTTCTGTGATAGCATATCTTTAGTTAAAACCTCTTTCTCCCCTACTGCTCCATATATCTAATTGCATATGCTAATAAGCTCACTTTACAGGTTTGGATGCCTGACATTTTATGACATCCATGTGGGCAATTTTTTTCTCCCTGCAATTTTTGCATTCCTATTTCTTCTTGTTTTAATCTGCACCAACTGTAGACACCCAGAACCCAAACCCTACTCTTAGACTTGTTCTTTCAGATAACGGTTTTCTGCCCCATGCATGTGTTAATCTGCTTATCCATGCCTGGATATGGTCAGCACCCACCAATGAACTTTGAACAGCTCTCAATAATCCTTATTCAGTCACTGTCAACAGAAGTTATTCAGGCATGCATCTGTGAAAGCTTATTCCCAAATAAAACGTGATTGTTTTTAAAGGGCCACAGGACTTCTGGGTGTTTTTGCTGCTGTAGACTACCAACGAAGATGGGGAGCCACCCTGGACACTGCAGTAAAGGCCACTTGAGGGCTTTCAGGAAGCGATGACTATTTTAAACAGGAAGTAAATGTACAAATCCTGTAAATAATACATTTTTAAATGAACATGAGGAAAAACTTGTCTGCATAGGATTTATATCTGAATAAATAATATAGAAAATATGGTAAAGGAAGTGGAAAAGGTGATTGCCTGATAGGCACCTTATGAGGCACTTCCATATTAGTTCTAATTCCAGGTGATTGCAGAAAAACAGGGTTACAGCACCACAAATATCTTGTGCAGGAGCATCCCAGGAGCAGGCAACATGACAGGCTATGAAATGAGTTCACACTTGAACTATTGTGAGTTCCAGTTCTTGCTCTTTTCCAGATCTGACTGTAACTAAAACCAATTTTTATCTCTGCATATCATTTCATCTTAGTCCTCTGTATTTATCCCACACCACATATATTGGGATATGGTGGCCTCAGAATCAACTTGAGTTTGTTGCTGCTTTTGGGTATACAAAGGTGACAATGAAGTGGCAGTCTTGCACTCATCTTGCTCACTGTTTATAATTACCCCATCACACACACACACACACACACACACACACACACACAGAGAGAGAGAGAGAGAGAGAGAGAGAGAGAGAGAGAGAGAGAGAGAGAGAGAGAGACGTAATGGTGTGTGGCAAGGAGGGGACGAAAGGAGAAAGAGGGACCCAAAAGGAGAAGCAGAAGTGCAAACATAGCAGCTTGCAGTGAAAAGCAGCGATAAGTTAGATATGCTTCCTGTTCCTGTAATAGTGAGCAGCAAGTCAGAAGTGTCCCTTTGCCTCACTTCTGTCAGTCTTCCTACACCTACCAACACAGACAGACTGTGGAGTAAACCATGAAAGCTTGATGGGTAGAGGACATGTATGAGGTAGATGGACAGTATTCAACCCCGGGAAGTTTTACCAAGACAGTAGACATTCACTTCTGCTTTATCGGCACCCTACAGAGAACTTCTCCAATTCATTTCTTATTGTTCTTCTTTTCTCTTGATTCTTTCAGCTGTCTTCCAACAATCATGAGGTAAGGAAAGAGCTGAAAAATGCAAAGAGTGGATGAGAAATTGTATTCTTTCACCTAGGTTTTGAAAGATCTTCTGCAGAGGCTACAGCTGGGAGGGTCTCTGTGTGTGTGGCGTGTGTGTGAGTGTGGGTGTAAAAGGGAGGGGAATAAAATGAGACCATTCCATTTATGTCCTGCTTTATGAATTTAGGTATTGGGGATGAAAGAAGAGATCTTTGCTCTTAATTCCTAACCATTTTTATCTCAGAAAATTTGCATGAAGGCCAGCTCACATATTAAGAAAATACTTTCTTTTTCTTTTCCAACTGGATGTGATACTGTATTTAGTATTTAGCAAAAATCTAGTGAGTGAAGCATTGACCACCACTTTACTTGTTGGCTAAGAAAAGTTTCACAGCTGTATTTCTGTATGGCATGATGCTGTTAAAGGCCACAGAATCTTTAAAAACCACCCTCTTTATAATTGGCCCACATTTGATCTCTGGATTTAGCGTTTCATACCTGATGGCTAAATGCATGATCTGACTGCAATTTAAACTACTGTATTGTGTTCAAGATGAAGTGAATGTTCTTTTTTGGTGTTTAATCTGAGGTGGCTTATTGACCTATGCACACCTCCAATTTATACATTTCCAAATGATGAATATGCATGTATGACCCATATGTGGCCAGAGTAAAAGCCTGACAAGAATTTTGGACAGGAACTTGCATGTCTTGACACATCAAGACTGTGCATTATCCATACTCTCTTGCAACCCTCCTGCCTATCCCCTCAAATTATGGTATATTTATTTTCTAATCCCATGCAACAGGTGGTTCCACCGCGACTTGAGCGGCATAGATGCTGAGGCCTTACTCAAAGCACGGGGAGTTCATGGCAGTTTTTTGGCTCGTCCCAGCCGGAAGAACAAAGGAGATTTTTCGCTTTCTGTCAGGTAACTGGCCAGCCATCATTCTCTCCCCCCCCCCCCCTGGAACTGCTGATATTCCCTTCTTCTTTGTGGACTCTTTGCTGTCCATCAGTCCTTCTGGTCACATTTCCCAGTCAGGTTTGCCCTACAAATACACAAAACGTGTCTCTTTCCATTGATGGCAGTAACTATCCACTGGGCCTTGTCCCTATGTTTAATTTTTAAAACCGCATCTAAAAGACTCTGAGACAAATTAGAACAGACTTCAAGAAGGAATGAAGAGTGAACAGGTTGACCAAGGATACGGGGGGTAGGAGTGAGCCTTTAATAGCTTTCTACTGTCCTTGCTGGGCAGGGACAGTAGAAAGCTTTTGAAACCATTCAGCCTGTGATACCTGGGCATAGTCTGAGAAATAATTCCTCCATGTCAGAGTTATTGCTTGGGGCAGATCATGTGAAAAAGCCCAGTTCCCCCCACCCTTCTGAATCAGAGTGAGAGACATTTTAATGAATTTAGGGGGTGGGGTCCTAAATAAGGGACAAAAACCATTCCCCAAAACAAGACTGGAGCTAAGAAAATTGTCCTTCTCGACATTTTTGTGCAAACTAGCATGTAAACAGATAAACAAACAAAAATCCCCTGGCTAATCTAGGCTTAGTAACAACCCTATTTCCTCCTTGCCCCTATTTCCAAACACTTCCTTAGTCTGACTGCTGCTGGGAAGACATGAGACACTGGAGCAGGAAAGCCCTTTCCTCACATTGGACGGAGGCTGCAAGCCTTCCATACAAGACTTCCTTGTATATACAACTACTTCTTATTTTATGGGCTGATTCCAGCACCAGTTCTTATCTTTCTAGTTCTTCTCCCTCAGTCCCAATTGTCACTTTTCCCAGCCAAGGAGAGATTATGCAAATCCCACTTCCTGAGAAAGTTCACTACTAATCTCATAACACTCCTTTGGTTTCACACTCAAACATTTCTTCAGAGGAAGAATTTGAAAACTGACTTGGAATTTCACATGGAGTGAAAACGTCAGTGACAGTTCTAATGTCGCAGTTGCTGCTCACCTAAATGTTATCCGGGTTTCTTCTGAGGACAGGAAAGCTTCTACAGCTTATGTTCAGCTGGAGAAGTATCAATGGTGGTGACAGGAACCACTAAAAAGGCACACCGTCGTTTTTGTGCCTTTGTCACAAACATCTGCTTAGTACTCTGGTGTAGATGAAAGTACCCAGTTCTTTCATCTCAACATATGGCTCAACATACCTTTATTTTGTCATCTAAAATGCATGGAGTTGGGAGTTTGGTAGAAGGAACTTTGTCCTATCCATCCACTTTTATCTTGATTCCCTCTTCAATGGTTAGTGCCAGCTACTTTTTCTTGACTAAATGCTTCTACCTCTCCCTGTAGGGTTGGTGACCAGGTAACCCACATCCGTATCCAGAATACAGGGGATTTTTATGACCTCTATGGCGGAGAGAAATTTGCTACTTTGTCGGAATTGGTGGAATATTATACACAGCAGCAAGGATCCCTGCAAGACAAAGATGGCACCATCATAGACTTGAGGTATCCGCTGAACTGTTCCGATCCAACAACAGAAAGGTATGTAAAAAGATAAGCCTGCCTTAGTTAATAACGGAACATGTTTTCCACTCGTGATGTATATTTGTACAGTTCATTGATCTGTACCTATTCAAACACAACATTGAACATGTATATAATCTGTTTCCTATGTGCAGAAACGAATGATCTGCACATATACAGTTATTTACGTACTATAGAATGCGATGAGACAGAAATTTCTGAATAAAGCCCAGCCAGTACCTTTTGCTCATCAAAGGGCATACCTCCACCTGAAACAGCATATGGCACAAGCCTTGAACATTTCATAACTGTTCCGATCCAACAACAGAAAGGTATGTAAAAAGACAATAACTGCCTTATTTAATAACTGAACATGTTTTCCACCCGTGATGTATATTTGTACAGAGTTCATTGATCTGTACCTATTCATACAAACACAACATTGAACATGTATATAATCTGTACCCTATGTGCAGAAATGAATGATCTGCACATATACAGTTATTTACGTAGTGTAGAATGCGATGAGACAGAAATTTCTGAATAAAGCCCAGCCAGTACCTTTTGCTCATCAAAGGGCATACCTCCACCTGAAACAGCATATGGCACAAGCCTTGAACATTTCATTGCTGCATGTATTTAAGCTTCTTGATTAGCAAATGGCAGAAATAAAGAATTTAATGAGTGAATGGGTTTTTTTAAGTCAAGGACTATTTTAAAATCCTTGTCCTGACATGTAAAACCCTACAATTTTTTTTGCCCTAATTATTTATCAGATCTGGTGTCATGGCATATTCTGTCCACAGATTCCAGGCTTTTGTTGATCTCTTAGACCAGGGATCAGGGAACTTTTTTACCTTTTACCCCCCAAAAAAATTTATATACGCCAACTTTACCCCCTTGATTTGAAAGGAAGGAAATCATACATTATTTGAATTCAAAATCTTATTGAATCTATTCAAAATTACTTTGAAAGCTTCAACTTACTTGAAAACTTGAGATTTTGGAGAAATGATGTTTCTTCATCTTGGATATGAGAGCATCAATACTGGGGCTCTGCTCATCCTCATTACCCCCAGGATTTTCATTTTTACCCCATTTGGGGTAATTTACCCCCAGGCTTTTGTTGATCTCTTAGACTAACGGGGCTAATTCCAGGCTTCAGGAATTATCCCCCTTGGCTCCAAACCTGTGGAATTTCCTCCCCCAGCACCTTCGTGTGGAACCTGAATTGGGACACATTTAGAAAAGGTTTGAACACCTGTCTGTTCAACGTGGAGCCACAGGTGGTATGCACAGGGAGAAATGAGTGAATGGTGTATTTATTTGAACCTTTTAACTGGTTTGTTAGCAGTTACAGTAGTTGCTGTTGTTATATTAAAGCATTTGTTTGTATAAAAATAGTACTGGTATGCTTCAAGAGAAAATAAAGGCCAGAGTGCTCAGTGTGGCTTGCTTAGGACTGGACTTTCTGGAAAAAGGACTGTTTTTATTTATTAATTGACTAATTAACTATATCGGTGTTCCGCTTTGGCTCCAGTAAGAGAGCAGACATGGTCCTTTTCCTTCACACTTTATCCTCACAACTCTGTGGGGCAGTCAGGATGAGAGAGAGAATGGCTGCCCAGGGGTATTCCATAAAATTCCACGGCACAGTCAGGACTTGAACCTGAGTATTCCAAATCTCAGTCAAGTTTTTTAATAGTGACACAACTCTTTACAAATATAGGGACCCCAGTTATACATAGTATTAAAATCATTCACCTGCAAAAGCATGGTTCGGAAACTTTGACAATTGAATAAATATGTGAAATGAAAATAAAACATACTTTTCATAATGCTTATTTGTTAAAAGAGGGGGAAAAGAAAAGACTGCAGAAAGAATAATTTAGTGAAGCGTTATGTCTCTAAACAAAATAAAACAAAACAAAACAGAAGGAACGGACTAGGATAAATCAGTTATTTGGCACTAATATTGGTGCTAATATCTGGCTGCAATTTACGTCCTCTAGTTATCTTCTCTTGTTTAATGCTTCTTTATTCCTGTGATTTCCTCAGTCAATTCCACACACCCAGCAAACCACACTACCTCCCTATTTCCATACGAAAAACTTCATAGATTCTTCTACATGTTTTGGGGAGCATAAACCATTTTTAAAGGGTGTCCCACCCCCTTTAAAGCACTGGTCCCCAACCTTGGGCGTCCAGATGTTCTTGAACCGCAACTCCCAGAAGACTTCACCACCACCTTTGCAGGCCAGGATTTCTGGGAATTGAAGTCCAAGAACATCTGGGGGCCCAAGGTTGGGGACCACTGCTTTAAAGGGCTTTCTTTGTGTGCTTATATACCGTAGTGGTTCTCAACCTTGGGTAACCCAGATGTTACTGGACTGCAGTTCCCACAGCCTTCACCACCAGCTATGCTGGCCAAGGTTTCTGGGAGTTGCAGTCCAAACACACCTGGGTTACCCAAGGCTGGGAATAGTTAAAATGTGCTCATCAAGTCCTCAGTGGTTTAGGTACAGTGGGGTCTTGACTTAAGAACGGCTTGAGATAAGAACATTTTGACTTAAGAACCGCTCTCATAGGAAAATATTGACTTGACTTAAGTACTTAGATTTGAGTTAAGAACTAAAAAAAAACCACGTGGGCGGCAGGGAAAGTGCAAAATGTGAACTTTCAGTTAACTGTTGGCCAGTGAAAAGGGTGCCTGTCTGCTTCCTCACTCCTCCCAGCGTTTAGAGAGTGGATTGGGAGACAGTCTTCAGACTGCCTGGTACTGAACTGCCTGGACTGTATTTTCCCTGCCTTCCCTGAACCTTTCTTGACCTAAGAAGAAAAGAAACAAAATATCCCCCTCTAGTGGTCGAAGGCAGAATAGCAGCTTCCCATTAGTTTCTATGGATGGAAAAGAGCAGATACGGATCAAATGGTTTTCAATGCATTCCTATGGGAAATGCTGACTTGACCTGAGAACTTTTTGACTTGAGAACCGCCTTCCAATATGGATTAAGTTCTCAAGTCAAGACCCCACTGTATCTGGCTGCAGAGCTAGAGGTTGGGGGTTCGATTCCCCACTGTGCCTCCTTGACAGAGCCCCTTCCAGCTCTGCTTATTGTAAGTCACACAAACTGTAGCACATCACAAAAACTTCACTAAACCCAAGGGCAGCCCTCTCACGTATGTACCTTAGACGAAGCAGCATTTTTGTACCTACATTCAAACCAGAAATCAACGCACATGGTAAACACATCCTCCCAGTCCTCTCAATGTGCGTTCATGCACTATTAACTGCAACCTGTTCCGTATTCAGTGTGTACGCTGCTCCTCTTGTTTGTTCAACCTAGGACGAGGGGTCAGGATTGCATCCCCCGTCCACACTGTTCCCTACATTTGGCCCACTGCAAATTGTGTTAAGATGGGAGAGCCCTTAACATTTAAGCCCACAGCGCAGAGCAAACCCTGGGCGCAGGGAGACGCGTGACATTTCCACAGCCTTAGGTCCACATGCCTTTTGTTTGTTTATGTTTTGGGCCATGGGGCAAATGGGCAGCTCCTGGCTCTAGCACGGGGTCGTTCCCCTTCTTGAGGGCGACCCATGTGCAGCCTCCCCCACCCCACCCAACCCCACCCATCCCGCTTTGACTCTGTGCGTCTGCGAGTCTGCCTGTGGCCTTGTGTGTTTGCATCCAACGTGCAGCAGTTGGTCAGGGAACCTGCTGCTTCCTCCCTTGCGGTTGGAAAGTTCTGCCCTCCAGGCACTTACGAAAGCTCTTCGGCTTTTTCTCCCTCCTTTCCCCCCCCCTCCGATTTTCCATCACGTGGCTTCCTCCAAACAGGGTCTGCTGGGCTTAACAGTTTCCTTCCTGCAAGGGGGAGGGGAGGCCCACACAAGGAACAGCAGATGCTGTGCCAGGGCTAAACTTGAAAGTGTTCAGAATAGCTCCTTTTGGTTCCGGGACATCTTTGATTTTTCTAAAATATAAGGGGTGGGAGTTGTACAAGTCCTCAAATAAGCATGGATCCCCCCCCCGCTCTTGAATCAAATTAATCTAAAGATGGCCCAGCACAACTTTGTGCCTTGCTAAGCTGAAAGTAGCTGGACGTTTACCTGGGGATTTGGACACAAAACTGCAATTTCACAGGCCTGCTCTGTGGAGGGGGGAGACAATGAGGTTGTTCTATTAATGTTTGTTATTCGGCCTCAGGCTCACGGATAAAATGACTCAAATCTGATCTAATCTCAGGCCTTTTAACCTACTTGAGAGTGCACTGGGAATGAAAGGGCTGCTGAAATATCAGAAACCCTAATTGTGTGGGGCCAAGATGAGACAAACTCCCAGTTTCCACTTGGAATTTAGAATTGTCACAACTAATGATAATTATAATTCTTCATTGTTTTCAATAAATAGATGTGCTGGGAAAAGATGTTAAAACAGAGTAACTTAATGCATCTGCTTTGGCCTACATAACAACACTTGGGTCGTTGTTGCCCAATGCATGTAAGCAAAGCATAGGAAAAAATTAAAATCCAATTCAGCTTTTATTTTATTTTTTCATGCATAAAATGAAGACTATAATCTTATATAGCTTAGAATAAGGTCCCACTCTGATACATTTGTGGAGACTTCTATAATGTACTATAAGCTCCCAACTGATTAAAGAATGTATTTAAAGTATTTATATCTAATTTTCCTAAAAAGGAACCAAGGCAGCTTACAGTATTAAGAAACAATATTAAAAGCTAAACCCAATTATTAGAATATTTTAAAAAGCATTAAACAGCTATATTAAAACTAGCAGCTAAAAACAATGCTAAGAACACATTAGAAGCAACAAAAGCGCAAACAATCCCACTTTAAAAAAATGCCTTAGACACCCAGTCAGTAAAAGAAAACATGTCTGAAGACAAAGGTCTTTGCCTGCTTGTGGAAGTACAGCAAAAGTGGGGCCAGCCTGGTCTCTTGTGGGAGGGAGTTCCAAAGTCTGGGAGCAGCAGCAGCAGAGAAGGCCCCCCT